AGGAATTTGGTGAAAAATGTGAGATTTAACCTTACGTCTCGGTGATTAAATGTTGATTATAAATCAATGTGTGAAGAAACGAGAAATTGTGATTTTACGTTTTATAAATGCCATGCCATAATTAGTTTATATTTTAGTATATAATTTGGTAAAAATCTGCATAGTGTTGCACACAAAACGGAGGTCAAGGTAAGTTCAAGTGAGTATTTAATGTCGGTATGATTGAATAATAATTAGTGATGAACAGATGTGAGTAGAGCTCATAAACCTGCACCCCGGTGTTAGTGCTCCCACCTGTGGCCAAGGAACAATCCTTCACGTGATGTTCACCTCCTGCACCTTACGCTCACCTTGGTTCAAGGTAGGTGCACATGTCTGTCGTACAGACCACTATAAGCGGTTCCGACTTATAGGTGACCCGCGATTATTTGCACAGTCTTCACGTGATCGTAGCACTTGAGCATATTTATTTACGCCCAGTCCTGTCGTACAAACCACCTTAGGTGATTCCGACTTGTGTGTAGGTATACTTGATGAGATATGGATAAGTCGTACATGTCACTATAGGTGACTCCCGACTTATGAGCTAGCATATGTGATGAGATATGGATAAATGGATAAGTCGTACTAGTCACTATAGGTGACTCCCGACTTATGAGCTAGCATATATGATGAGATATGGATAAGTTGTACAGATCACTAGAGGTGACTCTCGACTAATGAGATAGTATATGTGATGAGATATGGATAAGTCGTACAGGTCACTATAGGTGACTCCAACTTGCGTGCTAGTATGAGTTATTAATCACATGATTATTGATATTGCTGATGAGATGTTGTGTTGTAGTATATTTATGGTTTACTGTTGATATACTTTTGGCTTCACATTGATACGTGGTATGATTTTCTGGAAACTATACAGTTGTTGCAGTGAAGGGTTATAATACTTTAGATGGTTTCTATTAAAATTTCATTTCTAGGGCCACTCACCCTTGTTTTGTTTTCACCCTCTAGTTTTATTAGCTGAGCTTTCTTATCATCGAAGATTCGTGGCAAGTCTTGGTATTAGAGATTACCTTCGATGGTATGATTTTCAATCCACTCTATTGTACTTTACTTATGCTCTGACGTCACATGTGAAATGAGTTCATTTCTGCTCTCGGCGCACTTTTGTATTTAGGCATTCTTAGGTTTAAATTTATTCATATTTTTCCACATCATCATACTTTATGGCTTCACCCTCCAGGTGTCGGTCAACACAGCTCGATTCGGAGTCCTAGTGGACATCCCGGGTCGGGGTGTGTCAAAAGTGGTACATTAATAAAGAAGAATGGGTACATTATAAATAAATTAGGGTACAAATAAAAGATTAAAAATTATGAGTACAAATGAATTTTTAAAAATATAGGCGCTAAAAGAAATTAATACATGGGTACAAAATAAAACTAAAAAGAAAATACTACAAATTAAAAAAAATTGTTGCAAATTAAAAGTGGGTACAAACTAAAAATATAGATATATGATACAAAGTTTAGGCATAAAACATAAATATACCATATGTAATTTTTCTATCATTGATTAAATATACAATATCATGTGATAATATACACATGGGTACAAACACAAATAAAACTTCAAAAATTATGGGCACAAAAAGAAACTAATATATGAGTACAAATTAAAACTGAAAAGAAAATTGGTACAAATTAAAAAATATTTTCAAACTAAAAATAGGTACAAACTAAAAATAAAAATATATGATAGGAAATTTAGCCATAAATATAAATATACTAATTGTAACATTTTTAACACTAAAGGAATATATTTAAAAATAAAAATATTTTATTATTCAAATAATTAATGATGTTATTAATACGCAAGGACCTTGATCAAAAATTCAAAATGAATAGGGTTTTAATCAATGAAGTAATAAAAAAATGATGTGAACCTAATTTTCCCTTTATTTTATGTATAACAATGGAATTGATGTTTGAGAGTAAATACATATCAAAATTAACAAGGTATTTCGAGAGCTTGTGACTTCAACTTGTAAAAGCATTTGCTATATCTTCCAAACTTTTTTGGGTGAAGTGTCGATTTAGTCATTGAACTATCACCTCAGTGAAAATTAGGTTCCTGAATTAATTTTTTTTAGTAAAATAAGTCCCTAAATTCATTAGAATGTGCTAATTTCATCCCTACTATTATATTCAAAACTATTTTATCCAATTTTTCGTCAACTTAAGTCACTTGACACACTTTAAAGTGTAATACCATCATTTTCTCGTCTATAAGTACTTAACATTTCATATAGGTTGCGAATTTAATATCTAATTTACCCTCAAAAATTAACTTACACTATTTGTTTATGAAAAACTACCAATTTCTCCTCCAAAGATAACTCCATAAACTATTTCTTTATGAAAAACTACCAATCTACCCTCCAATGTGTATCACATGCAAGTAACGTGACTTAACTTGACGAAAAATTCAATATAGTAGCTTCAAATATAACATTAGAGATGTAATTGGCATATTTTTATAATTCAAGGACTAATTTTTCTGAAAATATAGTTTATGGACCTAATTTTCACTAAGGTGATAATTTAGGGACTAAATTGGCTGTTTACCCAACTTTTTTTTGGTGGGAAAGACTAACAAGCATTACAAATTTACAATCTCTTGATGAAATAAAAATTATGAATTAAATCACAAGATTACGCCCATCTCCAACCGACTTAGCCAAAGGGTCATATGGCTAAAATTAACTCACAATGACACGAAAATCATCTCCAACCGAGGGCTAAGCCAAAGGACTTGTGAGCCCTACCAAGTCAAAATCCCAAATCAGGCCAGCGGGCTGGTCATTTCCAGCCAACTAGCCTTCCAGCGTCATAATGTCAAGCTTGACATTTTGCCAGCCCTTCAGCTCAGCCCATTTGAATGCCAACGGCTACCTGGCGTTAGCATGACGCCAACTAGCAATGGCTAACTAACGTCAGGTTACCATTGGAATTTGATTTTTTTTTTTTGACGAATTTCTTATTTTTTTTCTATAAATACATAAGTCATTCCTACACCATTTCTGACATACTTTTCATTTTAGCGTTGCTCACTTTAGCGACACGTGTCATTCGAAATTCTATCAAAAAATTATCGAGATTACATAAAGATAGAAATCTGGAGAGTTACTCACGTTAGCGACATGTATCACTTGAAATCCTATCCAAAACATTATTGAGATTATATAAAAATAAGAAATTCGGAGCCTTGTTCATTTAGCGACAAGTAACACTCAAAATATGTTTGAAATCTTTATTTTAATATGGTAGTTTAATTTAATTAACCATATTAATTCAATTAAAATAATAAATTATGTTTGACATATAACTCTTTAGCCCCCTCAGTTGGTGATGATTTTTGTCAAGGGGCTATGTTTGGCCTATGACCATTTAACCCCCTCAATTGGAGATGATATAAAATATGGTATGGCATTGTTTATTAAAATATAATTTATTACTGAGTTATAGGGCTAAAGAAACCCTTTGGCCCTCCTTCGATTAGAGATGATCTAATTTCGTAAATTAGAGAATATTACAACCAACACGGAGCAATTAAACTTGCCCAACAATACTATTGCAAGTGTGAAAAAACACGAGACCAAGTTGAACTTTGTAAATTGCAAAACATCTCGATACAATCCTTCTAAGTTACATTCACCTATAGTGAATAACTAGCTCATAACCAATAATATGCAGGTTTGATATTGAGGTGATTGTAAAAAAAGTGGGTATGAAAAAAAATTGGGGGAGTTTTTGATGTTTGGTAAGCACTTCAAACCAACTTTATTTCAAAGTTTTAGATAGAAAAAAGTTAAAAATGCAAAGCTGCAAAAAGCAGCTTCAGAAAACAGCTTATTGTGAAGGCCTAATCGGATAAATGATCCCCGTGGTCATAAGGTATTCGAATGATAGCCCCTGTGGTAAAAAAATTCGAATTTAAACCCCTGTGGTCTAAGTCTGTTAGGATTTATGCCCTTCTGTTAAATAATGCTGACGTGGCTGCCACATATATGCCACGTGGCTGCCAAATGTCTGCCACGTGGCAAAATAATATTTTTTTATTTTTTTAAAAAAAACCTGAATTTTTACAAAAAAAAAAAAACAAAAAAAACAAAAACAAAAAACCCAGAACCTCCCCCACCCTCCGCCCGTTCCCCCCCCCCCCCCGCCGTTCTTCTCCTTCTTCCTTCTTCTTCTTCTTCCCGCCGGTCTCCCCGCGCGACTCCTCCCTCTCCCTCTTCCTCTTCCTCTTCTTCCTCTTCTTCTTCTTCTTCTTCTTCTTCTTCTTCTTCTTCTTCTTCTTCTTCTTCCCGCCGGTCTCCCCGTCTTCTTCTTCTTCCCGCCGGTCTCCCCGGGAATCTTCTTCTTCTTCTTCCTCCCGCCGGTCTCCCCGCGCGACTCCTCCCTCTCCCTCTTCCTTCTTCTTCTTCTTCTTCTTCTTCTTCTTCTTCTTCTTCTTCTTCTTCTTCTTCTTCTTCTTCTTCTTCTTCTTCTTCCCGCCGGAGACCAGCTCCCCCCCCCCCCCCGCCGGAGCCCTCTCCCCGCGCCCTCCTCCCTCTCCCTCTTCCCTCTTCTTCTTCTTGCAGATCTGCATTTTTTTTTTTTGTAAAAATTCAGGTTTTTAAAAAAAAAATTAAAAATTATTATTTTTGCCACGTGGCAGACATTTGGCAGCCACATGGCATATATGTGTCAACCACGTCAGCATTATTTAACAGAAGGGCATAAATCCTAACAGACTTAAACCACAGGGGTTTAAATCCTAACAGACTTAGATCACAGGGGTTTAAATCCGAATTTTTTTACCACAGGGGCTATCATCCGAATACCTTATGACCACGGGGACCATTTATCCAATTAGGCCTATTGTGAAAACACGGAGCTACAGTAAATTCTATTAATGAAAATTTCAAATTGCCAACGTTGCCCTCGTTTCTCTCTGCCTTCTCTCTATCGCACGCCCTCCTTTCGCAGAACATTCAGCACGCCCTATTCTTCTCTGGTGCCTGCAGATGCACCTCTTCCTTCTCCTCCTTTTCCTCTCTCTCTGTCGGTCTCAGCGCCACAGACACCGCCGCCGCCTTCCCTCATTCTCTCGCCATCGCCTTCCCTCCTTCATATGGTAAGCTTCTCTTCTCTAAAATTTTGTTATTTATTTGTTTGGATTTTTTAATTTGGGGATGGGGAGAGTGAGTGAAAGAGGGGTGGGAAGAGCAAAGGGATGAGTGTATGGGTGTCGGGAAAACTGAGGATGGAGAAAACAAGAGAATTTGAGAGAGAAGTAAGAAAAATTGATTACTTCTCTATTCATTTTCCTTGACTGAATCTTGATGCATGTTAAGCGTGAGAAGTGATAATGCATGTTTGTTCCCTAAATCTTGTTTTGGATTAAAGAGTTATTTGTGTTTTTGTTGTGCTTGGTTGGGGAAAAAGTTTAGGAAAATTTGGAATTGTTTCGATTGGTATTGGATTTGAGTGTATCGCTTCTTTTCTGATACAAGGTTGAAACCCTCATCCATGCAGTTGAGAAAATTGCCAAGTTGAAGATTCCCCTGCTGATTGGTATTGCATTCAATGAAGCCATTATTGAAGAAAGAAAGCAAGGGATCCAAGAAATTCAACAACAGATCAGTGAAGTTAATGAGATTTTCAAAGATCTAGCTGTACTGGTCCATGATAAAGGAGCTATAATCAGTTAGTCCAGTTTCTGTTCATTGTTTCTCAGAAATTGAATTTGTGAGTCACTTGTACTTTGTGTGCCCTACTTTGAACGATGCTGTATGTACATGTGTGTTTCAGATGATATTGGTTCTAACATTGAGAACTCCCATGCCGCAACTGTGCAAGCTACCTCCCACCTTGTGAAAGCATCCAAGACCCAAAGATCTAATTCATCTCTGGTAATTTTCTTTTCCTTCAACACGAGTTTGTTCAACCCGATTCCTGTTTTCTCTTGTTTTGTGTATTCAACTCCAAGATAAGTTGCTATTCAAAATTTTTAACCAAAGGATGCGATATATTGGCTGGATTGATATACATAGTTGGTTAATTTTTTTAGTTCAGCTATTATACATAAAGCATTGGATTCATAGAGGTTGCTAATTATTTGTGCTATTTGGGCAGACTTGTTTTCTGTTGGTGATATTTGGAGTCATCCTCATCATTGTGATTATAGTTGTGGTGGCTTGAGCTGTGATCAAAAGGAATTATATATAAAGTATTTGAAGTGGTTGGTGGTGGTGTTTCCTTGCAAGAAGAGCTCATCTCGGTGTCTCCTCTCCTCTCCTCTCCTTCAACTTTGAACTGGGTCTGATGCTAATGCCAAACGGCTCAGACTCACCTATTGGTATTGGAGTGGTTCGCATCCTGGACAGTTACTATGTATTAAGCATTAAGCATAGAACAGTGGGGTATAGAACCTGAACCCTATCCAAGACTAGAAGCATTAAGCATAGAACAAGCAAACAGATGTATTTATCATTTTTTCCGTAAACTAATGATATATTTTCTCTTTTTTTCTTTTGTAAGTTTCAAAGGGTAGGGATTTTTACACCTGTGTTTTCTTCTTTTGTTGTCATTTCCTTGTTTCTATCAGGTTTCTGTCCCTTTATTTTGTTTTGATATATTAAATTCAAAGGCTAGAAAAAGAAATGGAGGAATGCAAGGGGAGAAAAATGGAGTTGAAAAATCGCTTCTGTTTCCTTTTTTTTTAACAAAAAAAAAAAAGAAGATATGTACATATGATGAAAACCTATGAATTCCTATTTTATATAATTGAACATGCCCTTAAAATAAGTTTATAAATATTTTTCATACTAATTAATATTTAAGATAAAGTTTATAAATATTTTTTTTTTAAAATAAAGTATATTTAGTAATTCATCTTTATTTGTTAAGAAAATTAAATTAATGGCATATCTAGTATTATACTCTTTTTTTCATTTCACAGTCACATCTGTTTTATATAAAAATTTATCAAACACTATAATACTGTATTTTTTTTCAAAAGCACTTTTACAAAAAAGTTTACCAAACACTTTGCTGCTTTATTTTACAGCTGCTTATTCTCACAACGTAGCAGAAACAGTTTTTTTTTCAAAGTACAGCAATACCAAACCAACCCTTAATATGGTTCATGCGAATGATTTCCAGATCAATAAATGGTCACATGCATAAAGAGTTAATGTGTTTATATGTTAATCCTTGTACACCACCGTTTGTTAATGAAAATTCACTATCGCTTTTTATCGAAATAAGTGAAGAGTAAAGCTACATACACCATGATTTATTATACACATGGTTTAGATACTAAATTGAAGTTTCAATGTGTTTGATTTGTTGGTGTTTAACTCTAGTGTGTGGTATTTAATTAGGGATGAGGGTCCTCTTTGGATCCTCTGATCCTCACATCCTATCTGTTTATCATATATCGTGCGGTCAGTTTTCGTTAAGTACTGTTTGTGTTTAATTTTAAATAAAAAAAATTAAAATAATTTCTAACTGCATAATGTATAATAAACGGATAAAATCGAGGATTTCTAGGATCTTGATGGGATCCAAATCCTTTAGTGAAATGCATGGATAATGACTACATGAAATATATATCTGTAGGTGCAAACACAATTGTGTGGGAAAAGAGTTGAAAAGTATTTAGCCAATAGGCGGAGTTGCAATGTGTTTGATAAGGGTTCGAGTAAGCGGAGCTGAGTGAAAGAAGGCTCTTTGTAGGTTCGACCAGTCATGGCACCAACCCAACCTAACGACAAAAAATAATTCAGCTCTACAGATTTTGCAGGTGGCCTGCGTGGCCTAGCTCGGGTTTCCTTGAAACTAGTGTTGAGGTAAAAAATAAATAAAAAAAAAAGAGGTTGTTCCCTAATTCAGGGAAAATGGGAACGTGAGTGGCAAACAAATCAATGATAAAGATTATTTTAAGGAAATCTACACCATCCATTGTAAAATAAAAATAAATTTTAATTTTATAATGAGAAACAGTTCCTCCATTTTCCTAGACGTGCAAAAGAAGTTGGTGAAAAACTACCCACTTTCTCACCCCACTCTTCCCGTCACCCTAAGTCTATAAAAGGGGGAGAAGACACAGAAGGAAGGGGAGGAGGAACTCTGCAGAAATTGAGAGATAGAAAAGCGCAGTGAAGACGACAAAGAAGGAGAGGCAAAGCAAGAGAGCAAAGGCAAAAGAGAAACAAACGCATTTAAAGGTATAAATCTATCCTTCTAAATCTTTCTTTGTATGGTTTCTCTCAGCTTTGCAGGAAAAAAAAATGCAATTTGTTTCTTCAACCTCTCCCATCCCTAGTCCCATGAATTTCTTCAGGGTGGTCTAAACCACCCCGTGAAGTTCCAATCAATCTGAGTGGTCCGCTCCCCGCTGTTGCCGTCAATCCCATGAATTTCTTCGGGGTGGTCTAAACCACCCCGTGAAGTTCCAACCAGGTCTAGTTGATCACCGCACTGCAGCAACACCACCGCTCTTCAATTGTCGTCTCCGTCAGTCCTCCGGAAGAAGCCCAAGGGTAGTGCAATCCGTGATCCGAAGGTGATGAACCGGGCGATGCAGTTGGGCACGCGGGTCTAGACCATCAACAAATTTGACAGAGGCTCAAATAAGGAGGTTGCAGCGGTGGTCAGTATAAAGAAGATTAAGAAGGCAACATTTACATCACCACTTCTGATGTCAAACGAAAGACAAAGCCAAGGATGGCACCGGTGGCTTCAACGCCGCCATTACACGACCACCGCATAAATCTAAGCATGATGATCCAGGTGGCAAGCAAATGGATTTGTACGGACAATTATTGCCGTCGTTAGTCACGGACAACGAGAAAGAAGTGGCCGCAGAAGAGTTCTTTTTTTTTTGGACCAAACAAGCGTCTCATGGCAACCAAGAGTCGTAGAAAAGGGACGATGCGCATGGATGCATAAAAGGCTTGCTGGAAATGAATGTTTCTCTTTGTTTTTGTTGATCACCCTCAACGTGATGACAGTAGAAGGATTAATTGAAGGAAACCAATATAGCATGGGGTTCGAAAAGTCTGTTTAAAGGTCAAAAGGAGGCTCCCAAAAATCTACTGCACAAGGGGCTCCCTGTTTTCCTATCGAGTTCGTAGCAAGAACAAAGAACACTATTGCCTTCCTCATATAATGATCGCTACTCTAAATATTAAAACATGTTGCTGCTCTTCGGTGCAATTTTTTTTAAAAGTCTCTGGAGCTTATAGGGATGCCACGCATGTGATTCCCTAGAAAAAAAAGGAGAAAATATTATTAGAAAATCGTAAGAGATGGCAATCATGATCGTCATCACCATGAGGAAAGCCACTTACGTGGCATTGAAATTAAAGAGTTCAAATAAAAGGACTTTCTCTGCCCTCTCATTTCGGTGCCCTCCTCGTGCCCTCCTGTTTGTGTGGTCACGGTTAAGCCACGTCAACATTTTATATTACTATTTTTTTTTTTTGTCTTATTATTTTTATAAAAAAACAATATAAAATGTTGGCGTGGATTAACCGTGACCACACAAAACAGGAGAGCACGGAAAGGGCACCGAAATGGTAGGGCAGAGAATCCAAGTCCCAAATAAAAAAGGCCTTCCTCTTTAATTTTAATTTAATGCACCAAAAGGCAAAACCTTTCTTTATCCTCTATGTTTCTCTGCACAAAGAAGGGAAAATATATATGATGAGTTTAAAAACTCTAAAAGGAAAAGTGCTTAAGAGCCCTGCTTCTATGAAAATGAAGAAGTCTTTTGCTTGAAATATGTGAAGAAGAAAGAGAGATGGGCAATTACCTTTATTCCAAACTTTACGAGTGTTTCTCTGCACAAAGAAGGGAAAATACATACGATGAGTTTGAAAACTCTAAAGGAAAAGTGTTTAAGAGCTGAAGAAGTCTTCTACTTAAAATATGTGAAGAAGAAAGAAAGATGGGCAATTACCTTTATTCCAAACTTCAAGTGTGTCTCTCTGCACAAAGAAGGGAAAATATATACGATGAGTTTAAAAACTCTAAAGGAAAAGTACTCCAGATACTTTTATAAAGTTGCTTGCTTTTTTCTGACACCACGTGAAGTTCTGCTTCGACTTAGAAATCCAAATCTACAAGGAAAAGAAACGGGAAGCCTGGAATGTTCCTAAATTAATTAGGAATTGATGCTTACAAGGAAACCAAAAGGAAGAAAATAAGTCATTTCAAATACTTTGCTTCAAAAAAAGAAACAAGTGTCGGTATTTAATTCTTAATTAGACTTCTCAAAAGTCTTGGATCCAAAACAAAGAAATGGAGAAAGAAAAAAGGTACAACAAAAGAAGAAAACAAACTTGATGTGCCGATCACATGGGCACTACGAACATGATCCCTTTCCATCAAGATGTTATGCATAAATCAAGAAGCATGACGACAAAATGGCAAAGGCACCATGACAAGACAAATCCAAGCTAACCCGTTGTCAAATACAAATACAAATGGATAAGGAGACGATGTCGATCACTTCAAACATCGTGGACACAAGTCTTCTCAAAGTACAAAACTCGATGGGCGTATCATCTCAAATTAGTGGATTTGCACTACGTCAAAAATGAATCAAGCTCTTGTTAAAATTCTTGAAGTAGTCAAATGGCACGAAGCCACGACAAATGTCAAATGAAAAATCAAATATCAAATGGCACAAAGCCGCGACAAAATTTCAAATGGCACGAAGCTGTATCAAGTATCAAAAGGCACGAAACGGTAACAAGACTTAAAAGGCATCAATTGCTCCAATGGCTTAAAGTCCTCGCCCACATGAGCTAAAACTGCACAAGGTATTAATGCTCCAATAGTTTAAAGTCCTTGCCCGCATGAGCTAAAACTGCACAAGGCATCAAATGCTCCAATGGCTTAAAGTCCTCGCCCGCATGAGCTAAAATTGCACAATGCATCAGTTGCTCCTTGCCTGCACGAGCTAAAACTGCACAAGGCATCAAACTCCAAACAAAACACACAAGGAACTATGAGTGACTTGATCCCTCAATGCGGGTACGCAGTCAATCTAGGGCTCTACCTAGACGCAGTCACAAAATCAAATAAACACCCAAGTCCCCAAGTTATGATTTATTCATATTAGAATCAAAGGGTATTCCTTTCCAAAGGAAGGGTTGTAATTAATAGGCGCGTAGCCTAGAATGGGTCAAACTCGAATTAATAAAACCCTTTTCAAAAAATGAAAGAAGGTGAAATTGTGTCGAGTGAATTATTTATTTACATATTGTGTACAATTTTTGCTCAACAATTAGAAGGAACAGAAAAAGGAAGGGCATGCAATGCATGGTAGTACTATAGCCTGAGGAGTGGGGAACGGGTGTCAGGTAGACGTGGAGAAGCTTTTATTCTTAGAAAAAATATAAAACTTCAAAGCAAAATGCTAGGTTCATACGCTGCAGATCCGCATCTATGAGTTGAAAGATTTGAATGAACAATGTTGATGCACAAAATCAATGAGGACTTTGGTACAACAGAAAGTGTTAAGTTATGACCTTTGCTAGATTGCTCCGATC